TGTGTTTGGGTTAAAGCATCCGCCCCTTGTTTTGCCAAAAGGCTGGTCAGTAATTTTGGAAGTTGGAAACACATGGAAAATGTTTGGTTAGCTCTGGTTGTGTATTTGTCTCCACAGACTGACCAGCATTCTGTCCTGCCTCCTCCAAATTAACAAACTTTCGAAGTTCTTGTACCCACTTACAAACTGAGATCAGTGGGGATGAATTTGAGCAGGAGGTGGGAGGAGGCAGCTGCGTTTCTGCAGTCACGAGTTGTGTGATGGTAGTTGGTTGTTCCCAAATATATACAGGTAGATGGATGCTGCATGCCCAGCAAGGCACTGTGTTCTGCTTACTGATGTGCTGGGAGATGTCTGAGGGTCAGTAATGGTATCTATCTGCTCTTCAGATTGAAAGGGGAAAGAATGGATGTAAAAAATATTCCTCCCTCCCCCCAGTAACTTGTGTGTACAAATAGGGGAAACTGAAAGAACTGTTTGCAAATGCAATCACTGCTGTTGTGGTAACATTCCACATTTCAGTAAGGGAATTACCAGGTCTTATGATTTTAAACAGCAAAAACAGAGCTTCAGGCAGTTCTAAGTGAGGATTTGTTAGGAATCTCTCCTGTTCTCTGTATCAGGCACACCTGTTGTTAGATCCATGTCATCCCCCTCCTGCTGGATCAGAAAAAAACTTACACCAGGCTTGGTGCACAGCACCCTTAACTTCCTATTGTGCTACACGTTTCCTTTTGGGATTAGACAATAAGATTTATATACAGAGACCAGATAACACGGGGGGGTGGGAGGGTTGACATGTGAAATCTGCAGAAGTACATTCTCAACCAAGGTTATCACACCGGGGCAAACAAACTAAGCAGCTGCTGACGAAACCACGGTTCTACGGTAGGTGAGTGGCTAATCTCATTAATTACAGGACACTACATTACAGATCAGGGATGGGCTGTCTAATCTCCCTATCCCTTGGCTACATTTTTCACAAGTGACTTCAGCTCTAGTTACCCTGTAAGGCAAGGAGGCTGCCCATTGAACCCCAGCTCACCTGGATTCCCTTGTAAAGCACAAACCAGTTAGTCAACACAACTCAACAGCTTATTTAAAAGCAGCTTTGCAATAGCTTGAAAATTACAAGACACCCCTACCCACCCGAGCCCCAGACAAGAAGCACTAGTAAAGTTTGTACTATTCACCTCTAATACAAAAAATATAGTGTCAAATTCCTAAACACTTGTTTTACTTTTGGACAGAACAGTGAAGGTGGATTCCAAGAGGGTTTTCTCCTGCAGCAAAGAGTGAAAGATTGGTTCTGTTGTCTGCTTTGTGGGCGCTGTTACTATCAAGTGATTCTGTGAGTGGCCCTTTAGTCTTAGAGAGGTTGTTCTATTTGTCCATGGTGGAAAAAAGATTTTTTTGGTACTGTATATGTTGTATTGGTAATGAGAGAGAGAAGGATGAGGTTTTGATATCAGAAAATGGTTCATGGTGTTTGCCAGTGGATTAAGGGTTTTTGTTGTTGCTGCTGCAGTTCTTATATACCTGTGCTATACTCCCACTGCTTACAGTCCTGTGTTCATCCAGGAGCCCTGGATGTTCTTGGCAATTTTAGCTAGGCAATGATTATCTATGCAGGAGAGGATATCTGTGCATTTTACACACTGCTGTGGAACAGCCGCCAGCCTCTCCCCAAGCAGGAACAGTGCCAAGGGAATAATTTCCCCAGCACATATCACAGACGAACGACCCACAGAAAACACTTTTTTCAGCAGGTTTACCATGAAAGAAGTTCTTGGCCAATGGCATCAACCATCTCTAGTGCTGTGTAAGATCCGAGGGTTTCCCGCGTACAGCTCAGCATAGTAAAGGTTGGAAGGACAAACCTGCAGTTCATTCACAGTTGTTAAGGATGAGGAGGATATGGTTCCCTGTTTTTCGTTCAGTTAATCTGAGATGGAATGCAGTCCTTTGCTTCAGGTCTATATTTCATAGGCTCAAACCCTGAGGATGATGAGAATTGCCCCAACAGTTTGTGGCTTGTTTTTGTTTTGCTGTATCCACACACAATACTTTTTCTAGTGGGAAATAAGAGCTGGAATGTTACTGAAGGTTTTAAAACCTACTCATAGAACTGTCATTCAAGTGGCATGAAAGGAATGGATTGCAGGGCAGTGCTAAGGGGGGGGGGCTGGCCAGGAGCCCTTCCTTGTGCTCATTGCCTGCAAGGCCTTGGGGGGAGCAGCTGTTGCCAGGGATAAAAATAATAAGAGCAATACTTCTCTGTGCTGTAAGAGAATAGCACTGATATCTTTCCATCTGTTATAAAATGCCCCAGTAACGTTTTTGTAGGAGTGCATAGTGGGTTTATGGCATTTGCTGTAGTAAATGAAGTTAGAAGGTAAACCCACGGAGTAAGGCTCTTTTCTTTGTGGCTTAATGTCTCTTCATGTAAACTACAGGGCTGCAAAAGCAGTGTTGCAAAGCTGGAATATCAGCTTTGTGATACTGCAGTTCTGGCAAAAGCTGTGCAGTGCGTCACTTTGGTGGAAAAAAAAATTGTTTAAAGTCATTTTAAAACATATGAGTCTGAAAGGGGTCACAGCACAGAACTATCTGGGAGTCTTTGGGAAGATGGAAAATAGAGCAAGGCTGTGTCACCATGGCAGCTCGGTGGGACCTCCAGTGAGCAGCACTGCCGTTCTCCCTGCTCCTTTTTGGTTTGCAAGGAGGCTTCTGAGTTATTTTTCAAAGGTCATAATTTATAAAACAGAGGAAAAGAATCAGATTTGGATTTCTGGCCCCTAAGCCTGCATTGGGAGCTCCTTTACACAGCTGGGTTTGGGATCAAATCATAGAAACACAGTTCTCAGAAAAAATATAAAATGGATGTTAAAAAATATGCTCCTGGAATGTTAAGATTGCAGATCCTTGCCAACATATCTATTTATATAAAATTTACATACTAATTCTAACTTATTCTGAGCGAATATTATATTGCAGAGCATCCTTGCAGCAGCCTTTGGGGGGGAGAAAAGCTGTGTTTTAATGTGAAATAGAGAAATTAAAGCACCATTTAACATCTCCTGTTGTACTGCCTTGCTGTTAATGGTAACAAAATCCATTTGTGGCTGCCTTGTTAAATGGCAGCAGAGACATTTCCCCCTGAATGTTAACATTTCTCTCTCTAAAACTGGGACAACACAGGAAGAAGGGAGGATAACTGGTGCAAGCCTCTATAATTAAAAGTGCTAAGTTTTATTAATATCATCCCATGACACTAACATAAAACAACAGAAAGAGGGCTGTTTTCAGATGCTCCATCTGCAGCAGATATCTAAGATACAAGAAATGCAAAGTTCCCAGGAGTGGGAGAAAATGGAACAGAGAAGTCTGACTTAAATACTTGCTGTCTGATTGCTGCCCACTAAGACCAGCGTCATCAAGGAGAACAATTTCCTCTCTATGGAAAACGTTTGTGGTATGATGCACTTCTTTGTCACCTCTCATGCTTATCTTTTAAGCTATATGGGTTTTTTTTTTTCCTCACCATTTTATTTTCTGGACGTTCAGGCAATTGCATCCTCTCTGATGATGCTGGAGTGATTTGCACTGCAAAGTCACTTACTGTATCCTGGGAGTGCTGCACTCTCACAGCTATTTCTTGTGGTTTTATGCCCTAGCAAGATCTTCATCCTCTGTGATTGATATTGAGTGTGTGAATGGTGAGAAATGAAGGGTTTGAGGCTGTTCTCCTATCAGGTAGCAGCAGTGGGTTGACTGAAGAAGCCTTTTAATACTGAACTCATTTCTTAGACCACTTCCCAAGACTTGCAGTGCAGGTCGCAATCAGAGATACTGTAAGGCTAAAAGGATGTTTTCTATGGTACAGTAGGGCAGATCCTCCACAACACAGAAGTACAGCCAGATCAATACAAGTTAGAAATGGAGGCTAGAAGTCCAGCTCCTATTTCAAATTCCTTTCCACTGAGATAAATGGATTAGAAATGTTAGAGTAATATTTAAACAACTAAAGGTCACGAAAACAATACTAGGTTAGAAGTCAGTTCTCAGTGTAGATTCACAAAAGGAAGGTCAGCAGCAAAGAAGCTGCTTTGGCATAACTGAACAAAAGCCAGGAAACAGAATAACAATTCTCTATTGAGCAAAGCAAAATTGAAATCTTACCTCGGGCCCAAAACAGAACAGCTTCTGTTCCAGCATTTTAAAAAAAGAAATGACATTCTTTTCAGTACGTAATTCAGAGGGCAGACTGCATGGGAGTTGGGGTTGGATGTGGATTTTGGTATCAATCCTGATCCCTTCCATCTGCAGGTTTGGTGCACAAAGAGGAAATCAGGCTGGACAGGTCTGGCATCTCTCTGCTGCACAAATAGTAGGCAGGCAGAGCTGGATGGTTTCTCACATCTCTATTCCAGTCCAGGATGTAAACACTGCATGTTTCCTGAGTGAGGTTCTGAGGGCTGAGCTCTGCAGAGCTTTGACCCCTGTGTGTGGCTTAGCAGATTGGGACAACAGAAGCAGGAGCCACATAGAGCTCTGCAGAACACCACAGCAAGCTGTGGCACTGCCAGGGGATTCGTTGGGTCTTTGCTGGGGTGGCAAACTGGAGTTAGATTGATAAAGCAGCAGCCAAATTAAAACTGCATCCAAGGAGATGCTGAGAACAATTAACTGCTGGAGAGAGTCTGTAGTGGGTTTCCCAGACAACCACAGCTCACGAAAATTCTGTTGCTTTTCTATTGATGTCATTGGCAATTTTTTTTTATTCATAATGTTTTGTCCAATGAAAAATAAGTTTCTGGGGAGGAGGAATGGAAGTCACTGCAAGGATAATTCAAAGAACCACGTGCTGCTGAGAAAAGTGACAGCTTGTTGCCTGCTAAGCTGGTATTTTTGTCTCGGTCTTAAACATGCTTGCAGCAGTTATGGGTTCCCATTGCAAACAGGAGTGCTGATGTCAGTTGTGAGTGCTGATGATGGTTGGGGAAGTCCAAGTGTTTGTAAGTCCGCCCGCTCAGCTGGGAAAGCCATGAAATTGGCTTTTTCAGGTCAACAAGAGCAAGCAAAGTCCCATTCACAGCCACTGATTGTACTGTTCAGATCTAGGATCCCAGATGAAGAAATGATTTTGGATCTTTATGGATTTCCCCACTAAGTACCTGCCCTGTCATGCTGCTCTCAGCCCAATACGAGCACCATGGGTAATTCTCAAAGACAGTACAAGTGAGAACACTGGTGGTGTTTGGTTTGGTACCAGTTCTGCCAGGATGCTGACTCACAGTGACAGCTTTTCTTTTTTTTTTGGTTCAGTTGAAGCAATGAATCATATTTGCATGAGATGGGTAAAAAGTGATGAGAATTCACTAGCTCTGTTCCAGATGTGGGGGTAAATAGGCCAAAGGTAATGCAGCCAGCTCTATCTCCTGCACAACATGCAAGCTGTACAGTAAATCAGGCTAATTTCTGGTAGTGATAAGTGGAGGTTATTGTGTTGGTATGAACCTAAAGCAAAATTAAGGTGTGCAGATTGAATTTACTTCAGCTTTCAGTTCAGGACTGGCAACCTCCTGCATTTTATTTGGTTGTTTAAATCCACCCCCAAAGCAACAAGTTTTGACCTAATGAAATTCTGCAAATGGAGAACTTCAGGGCATTGGTCACATGTGCTCACAAACACTGACTGCACAGAGCAGGGCTTTGCTCTGTTTCTGTTATCAGAACAGGCAGGAGAATCTGCAGCAAGGCTACATTCATTGAATGACTTTGTAAAAGGAATTGCTTGCATGACACCTGATATCTATTAAATACTTAGACAATCTATTAATTCCTCAAATCTCTGAATAGGAGAAGGTCAGATTTTACAGCTTTCTTTTAGCTAAACTACAGCAAATACACAGAGTCAACATGATGCCAGCAAATGGCATTTACATCCACTGTTCGGGTGCGTTAAGTTGGAAACAGGGGGACTCAGGGCCCCAAGAACACAAACTCCTACACTGAGATTAACCTCTAGTGGCTCTAACTACTCACTGCTTAGCACTAGGCATTGTATTTTAGTAGGCATTGTATTCTTCTTTAGCATCACTGTTTCCTAAATATAGGATGTCATAATATTTACCTTGCACAGCTCTGTACCCTGCTCCTTCCTGCCCCTGGGAATGATTGATGTGCAGTCTCATTTTTGAATCTGAAACATGAATTTTAAATGAAAGAGGACTGTAGCACAGGGACAGCTTGTTTTCCTTATTATGGAGATGATTTTTAATAGGGCTGCTTCTGCTCCTCCAACTGAAAATGGCATTGTGGAGACGCATCTGCTTCCTTGGGCAGTGTGCAGAAACCCTTATTTCCTCCCTGCCAAGAGATTTTCAGGTGTGAAAGTCAGCTGGCCATCGGTTCTTCAATGGAAATGAAGGATTAGAGTCCATTCTGTCTGCTGTAGTTGAAGTCAGGCTCCTCAATCTCAGTTTCTGTTATGTCTGAGATTTTAGAGTGTGTCCTTCCTATTTCCTCCAGCGCACAGGCGAGGGAGTCGAGGTCTCCATCGTGTTGGTGTCGGGCTTCCCAGAGGTCCAGAATGACTGCAGATGGGCTGCTTTGTGTGGCAAAATAGGAGAGATTCCTGAGAGGAATAGGGAAAGGTGGAACAGACAGATTAGAATAAAGAAACCTGCAGCAAGATGTAGTTGGATGAATAGAGGGAATCCTAGTGAACAGCTCATGTGCATATGTGTGCAGTACAAGTTTAGCTTTGAAGTCTCTTATAGCAAAGCTCCTAACAGTTTCAGAACTATGAAAGAACATCCTGTCCAGAATGAGGACTTAAAGCCAGAATGTCACTCCTGTCAAGTGAAACCTTGATGTCAGCAGAACTACAGCTATGGCAGTGCTCCATTTTCTGATTATTATTTTTAAATAGATGGGGGAAATATGATGATGATATTAATAGATTGCAGCTGGATGAAGGTTGGTGAAGTCATGATTTTTGCTCTACCCTCTGAATTTTATCATTTCATGTCTACTTATTTAAACTGCTTGAGAACAGTCTTTTTCTACCTCTGAATTTGATTGATAAAAGTGCATGCTGCACCATCCAAATGCATCCAAGGGAGAATCAGAAGTTAAAGAACTGTCACAAACTCAGTCTTGCACAAACCATTGTAATCTCTATTCTGCACTGGCCTTCAGTTTCCTGAGAAAGCCAAAATTCCTCAGGATTGAAGAGCATGACAATGCATAGCAAACGCTGCCAGATAAAGCACAGTGCTGTGACTCACTGCTGCCTGCCTGCAACTTCATTCTCTTCTTTGGTTTGGTTTTGATTTATTGACAACCCTGTGAAAAGGAACTCGTCAATAGGAAGTTGTTTTGTTTCATCCTCTGTGCTCCTGGGCCCGTACTTATGGAGGTGGTGACAATCAGAAACTATTTGAGTCCAATGCCTTCCCCGGTTCCATTTAGCCAAGTGGGAAATGCAAAATAAGCAGTGAGTGAGTTTTTAAAGTGCCTTTCAGTTTTAATAATCATAACGTTATTGTTCCTAACAGTAGAGTGTAACTTTCTTTGAAATATGCTTTTTCCTTAGGAAAAAAACAACTGTAAAACCAATAATTCAGTTTGGAGATGGCAGCCACACAACAGCTGCTCAGCTGCTGTGTTCACAATCATTTCTGAGTGCTGTACTGACCCACTCTGGTGGGTTACAACCTGAGCTCAGGATAACACCAGGTGGGATGGCTCAGAGTGGAAGGCAGGTCCTGCTTTCAGTCACTAGTAGTATATAAAAGAACATACCAACTACAGTTTATCCTTGAGAGTAAGAAAGGCAATTACTATTTATGCATCCTTAATACCAGCAAATAAAAAAAAAAACCCATAACACAATAGCAGCAAAATTATTCTTGTTGCATATGTAAATGTTCACCTTTCAAAATTGCTTCCCATTACCTGCTGATGCTGTTTTTCTGTGCTAGCATCTGCCAGTCTTTGCCTTTGGCATTGGGTGTGTCAAATGTTGCACAGATTCTTTGTCTGATGGAGTATGGGATTTTAAATGCTTTTGCACCCATCTGTGCGGGGAAGTTGCTGTCGTCATGTGCAAAGAAAGCAATGGTTTCTCTTTCATTCTACACAGAAGATAAAAGCAAAGCAGTTAGTGCAGCACCAGGTTCTGATCTGGAGATCTGCAGGCAGCTCTCCATTGCAGAAACAGTACCATCAATGGTCCTGTTCAGGAGCCAGAAACTGAGACAGGAGTCTTGCATGGCCTCTTCAAGTACCAGAGTACTGGGAGTGCACTCTTATGCAAGGATCTGCCTGCAAGCAAAGCATGTCTACATACATGTGCTGCTGCCCCAAGGCTGCTTGTGGACAGAGAATGCATCCAACTGTGTCTGAGGTCCCCCTGATAGTTTGCAGACGTGACAACAGAAAACCAAACAGCCAGGAGGGTGTTTTACCTGACTTGTGAAGGAACTTTCTAAAGCGTTTAAAATAGTGTCATTTTTCTTTCACAGGAGTTTTGTTTATGGTGGGGTTACAAAGTGCGATAGAGCAGTGACAGGTCAGTTGCATATGCCTAAAATACAGACACCTAAATTCTTTATCAGTGGAATTCAGGTTCTTTTGGTGGACTGGGCCTGTTCTGTTCCTATGCAATTATACCAGACTTGTGTAACCGTCCCACTTCCATGAATTACTTGTTTCAGTGCAACGTGACATAAATATTAAATAACAGTGATGCTATAGTCTCTTCATATAACATTTATGACACATTCCAAAAGTCATCTGTGCAGAGTACTAGAGGTACTGCACATATATCACAATGTCTGTCTGTTCAAATTAAACCTGCAGAACAATGGTAGGTTTCATACCCTGCACTTGTGAGATAAGCTGCTGCTACCCGGTTAGTTTGGTGCATGTTAAAGCTGTGAACGATTCAAATACTCAGTTGTTGATTATATTTACTTCACAGTCTAATTATCCCCACTTTTCTCTCACCTTTTCAGAAAGCTGTGTCAGCACATCTGCTTGAGGGGACAACTGTGACACTCTGAGGCTCTGTGGACAGGTATGTCCCTGTTTTTTATCTGAATTACATTAGAGGTTTTCTTATTTAGATCTACATTCTCTGCATATTGCTGTTTGCACACAGACGCAGACCTTTAATCCAGAAGTTTCTGAATACTTTCTAAACAATCAGCAAAGATGCTGACTAGCCTAAGCATCTTAGTTCTCCTAAGTTCCATAAGTTCTCCTTGCCCTTTGGAGGCATTGCCTGCTTGAACACCATTGCTGTGGCCAAACAGCATCCAGGCAAGCTATTCTTCTTTAAACTCTCAAGATACTCAAAAACTTTCCACAAGAGAAACATGACCATCATCTCACATACATATAAATTATTTTTAGTGTTCTAGAATCTCAGTAAATGCTGGAAATAGAACCGAATGCTCTGTGCTTGTTGCAGCGTTAAACAGGGCATGAGAAACGCCAATGAGGTAGAAGGGGCAAAAACAGGGCACAGTTTGTCTCATGCTACACAGCCTGACAAAAGAAAATGAAAAGGAAAGGATGCTTTACCTCGAGGATGGATGTCTGGATCTGTAGGATTTGCTCGTGCCCCTTGACCTGCCGGACGCAGATCTTGCAGGACAGCTGTGTGGTTGCAGGAGTGTAACGCTCCAGGGAGAAGGCACAGTGCAGTGGCTTCTGGTTACTGCACCACACACGGGAGAATGGGACCTCCTGGGAGAGAAACAGCCCACCAGAATGGGGGAAATGAGTGAGATGCTGGATCTTCCAAGAGGTAAAGATGCCAGGAAAACAGCTGCTGTTAACTGTGGGTGTTGCCTCTGGTTCTTACCATGCTCACCGCAGCCCCTTCCTGCTCTATCAGCCTAGTTCTCAAAGTTTCCCCTTTCTTATATATCTGTATGGTGCAAAGGATGCCAAGCACTGAGCACCTGCTCCTGTAGAATGGCCAGGACAAACAAAGGCACTAACAATTTCTCTGGGCTATGCTGTCTGCCACCTGCTATAAACTGCTTTAACGCTGCACTTTTACATGGTGCTGATTTGTCCCTTCAAGCCTTGAAATGGATTTTGCTAATCTGAGAAATCATTAACATAAATCATTTCCTCATCGTAGTGTCTGACAATGGTTTCATTGCATCAGCGCTTTCAGTTGTTCTAGACAACCCAAACTTAAAGCCTTGCTATGTGGAAGAGAAATGAGTAAACACTCCAAGGAGCCACAGCAGAAAACATTTCACTGTGCCAGTGCAAGTTGGTCAGCAGTTTCTGTTAAGAAACAATCATCATCTTCCTCAGCTGCTGTTCAAATTATACTCAATTATAAAATGCAAATGTTTCTTTGCCTTCAGTATCAGCATTGTGGCATTGTTCTGCCAGCAGAGGTTCTTCATACCCTTCTCAGAAACCTCGAGTCCTTGCTGTGCTCAGAGCCTTCCTCAAAGCAAACACAGCCCCACAGTCTTCAATGATCAGACAACAAATCAAAAGACAGGGCTGTTTTTATAATACAAGTTGAGGCAAAACCTGATTTGTTGTATTAATAGAAACCTTCCATGTCATTACATTGAAGACGTGTTTTTTTGCTAAAAATCAAGATGAAAGACATCTGTATTTTAAAACACCACCTCACTCTATTTGCCAGCACATGGCTTATAGCTTCCAGTAACCAATACATTTGAAATTCATCTTATGTTTTGATTTACACTTTCCTGTTTTCAACAGCCTCTCTAATTAATGTCTTACAGGAAAAGTAATTTGCTCTTCATCAGTTCTAAGAATGCGTGTGCTGTAATTTGAAGTCATGACATTTAAATACGGACATATATCCTCTCATTTTCAGCCATACATTCATAATTATACTGAAATTGGAATGACAAAGATATCAAAAATGTTTTCAGTAGCAATAAACACCACTGGAGGTAGTTTAAATAAGGAAATGCACAAGCTTGCTTTCTATTAAAAGATACTTGTTAAGTATTCTGCTGCATTTGAAATGTTTCATTCTGCTTTTGACAAAATCATAATGCAATGCATTTTTATAGCATCTCAGAGATTAAAACCACACCGTTCAAAAATAATAGGGAGAGTTGTCCTGTTATGTTTGTGCCAGTGGAAATTCTTACTGCCTCTGAATTAAAATGCAAACAATTAAAATGGGCAATTACCTGACAGGCAGTAAAAGGTTTGATTCTCCAAAGGAAAGGAGGGATATCGAGGACAGATATCTGGAGACTGAAGGTATTCCCTTTGAAATGCAGAAGTTTGGGTTCATCCAGTAATTGTCCTCCTTGGAGCCTTTCATCCAGAACCACTTCCTGCAATGGCAGAGGAGAAAAGAATTCTTTACTATTAGAAACAAACACCAACTGTGATGAAAATTCATCTCTGTGAAAGGAACTGAGGCCATCCACAGCAGTGGGGTGCTTCTGTCACACAGTGGGCTCTGCCATTTGTGTTCCACCACTGGACTTCCAGGGATGCTGTCAGGCTCTGTCAGCTCTTTTGCTGTCCTTGATGCTACTTAGGATTATTTTCTTGACTCCCTCAGTGTCAATGCCAACACACCTTCCCTAGGACTGCAGTAATTGAGAAAGAGACCACAAGGGTCCTGCAGCTCTTTAACGCCTGTCTTCATGTTTCAGTTCCAAGTTGAAGCTGGGCTTTTCCACTGGAAGTTACTCTGGTGGTTCTGCTGAACGTCACAGTTTGAGAAACAAGATTATTTTTATACAACTCGAGAAATTATAGAACATTATAAAATTGTACATTAAATATTAACTAAAAGCATATAAAAACATAAAAATTACACTACTTAGAATTTCATTTTTATGAAATGCTATAAAACTGCTACACAATACTAAATGATTACAGCTAGGGCTTATTCATAACCAATGCTGAGTCACTGAACTGTGAACATGAGAGCCAGATTTCCTTTTACATGTTCAACAAATACCTGAAGAAGGAATTTGGTCTGAATTTCAGGCAGATACATCCAGGAAAATACTTCCAGCCCACAAATTGTGTGAATAATATAAAGGATATAATTACAAAGCCATTGTAAATCTTTAACCATCCTTTCAGTGGCTTTGATTTTATTAGAGCACAAAGGCATTAGCGTGTGCTCCATTAAGATTTGTGTCTTTATTCTGTACAATAGGAAGAGGAAGTAAAAAATTTGGTTACAACCGTTTCCATTTCAGCTCTCAAAAGAAAAACACGTTAAAGCTTCTTGAATCACCATGGCTACAATAGCCTGTGAATCTTATTGTTTTGCCTTGGAATGCAAAGTCATACTAATTTTAATTTACGCTTGGGGATTTTTTGGTTTAATTGTTTGTTTTTTTTTTTTTAAAAGGAGAAATGCACAACTATCTTTTCCTACAAGAATTTAATTATAAGAATACAATCTCTTCTTGCTCATATTATAAAAAGGAATCCCTCAAGTGATTAATGACAGCTAAGGGTAATGAGCGTGATAAGGAATATACATCACAGTTCTGAACTGCTGCTGCAGCCCTAGGGATAAAGAGATGCTAATATTCTATAGGGGAAAAAAAAAATTAAAACCAAAACATCCACGTGAAATTACGTACCTGAAACGCACAAGGTGTGTTATCCATGCAATACACTCTCAGATTGTAATCCAGAGAATTGCAAGACAGGCAGCCAAAAACCGCTACTTTCAGCTGTCGGACGGCACACTCAGAGATGGGTTCTCCAATAAGTGCATAAGTTCCAAAGCTGTTTAAGAGAATGTGACAGGCATAAGGATCCAGCAGGCAGTAGCAGGAAGTAGTTTCCTCTTCCACAGACATCACTTCCTGCAAAACGAAATTCAAGTTTGAAAAACAACCACCAACAAAAAGGCTTTGATAATAGATGTCATGACATCATTTGTGTACAACTGGAATGCAAAGTTATTCCCAAGAGCCAGCTTCATGTCCTTAAACTCATGTTGATCTCAAAGAATGAGGAAAATTGTCTAACTATGCAAGTGAATAGTCTCCATTTAGCCTTGAATCAGCAAGAGGATTTCTGGCAATACATTGTACAGAATTCAATGCATAACAGCATATAATAATGACAATGCCTAAGCAATTTGAGCTTCTTTTTTCAAGTGTTCTTGACTCCCTATCTAATTTTTTTTTCCCCAATGTCAAGGTAAGAAATTACCTTGAAGATTGAAGTCAATAAGCAAACCTTGAACAATCGCAGGTATTTGACATCCTTTCAGAACATCCACTACAGTTGTTTACCTTCATCAAAAAACTACCTAACCCACTCTTTTGTATTTCATGCTTAGTTCTGCATTACAGCATCGTTAGATGAGATATCTGAGCAAGCTACAGCCTGGTGTTATGCTCCTCATTAATTCTGGGCTGCTTGTAACTGACACTGATGGGGCTGACAGTGGATGGAATGAATTTTATGAGGAAAATGAAGCTGAATTTGAAATGGTTTAAACAAGAGCCACAACAATATGGTGGTTTACAGGAGGAAATGGATAGAGTTAAGGTATCCACAAGTGTTTTAATGACTCTTTGTTTTCTTTACAATGCAGGGAATCAAACAGTTCCATCAGGAGCAGTACAATTAAGTGCTGACCCTTTTCCTCTATCTTTCCGTTCAGCACTTGAATAGAATTCAACTACTTTGAAACAAAATGTAAAATATGTTTCATTTTTTTTAGAAGGAGAAAAAATGCTTCCTTTAAAACTGTTTTGATTGCTCTGTCCCTTGCACCACCTTCAACCAGCTCCTGCCTGATTAACAGCAATCATGTTTTCCATTTAGTGTATATAACTTTTCAGTGGGAGCAGAAGGATGAACGTACCTCCCATTTTCCCTGCTGAGTCCTTTTCTTCAAGTGGATATTCCAGTGCTCTGGATTTACTTCTGCACAGTGTGGGATAGTCAAGGCAAATGGAGAGCTGACAGAGACATCCGAAGGACCACATGTCACTTCTGGTCCCAGGAGGACATCTGGGCCTTCTGGCTGTAGGCTGAGGATGAATAACAACGCTTAAGGACCTTTTTAAATGAGTGAAAATGTACTCACACTAACTGCAATACGAATTTTAAATGTTTTAGTTAAAAATCCAAGTAAGTGCTTCGTTCATCTGTTGCAGAAAAGATAAGCAAGCCAAACTAGAGCACTAATTTTCATATAGATTTGGTAGCAGGAAGTGAAACAGAACTATTGGGCCACAAGTACTTAAATCATTGGCTGCCTTTTTAGGTTCTGGTCTTTAAAATACATTTTGATTTGCTTAAACAAAATGAAACACTGGAAACTATACAAGTAAGCCTCGTGTTGTGCACCAGCTGGTAGTGCTACCATCTAATTCTGCCTGCAAAGAATGCCATTAACAATATTTCCACAGCAGTGAAGATTAAACAATATTTCCACAGAGGAGATGTGAATAGAGTTTTGGTTAAGTTGTGCCATTGGTGACGATTCGTATCTAAAAAAAGCCCTGATTTTTCAAGGCCCAGGAATGAAATAAAACACTGCAGATACAAACAGTTCCCCCCATCACCTCTGTTCCTATCAACATATATCTCATACCAACCTAAGCGACAGCTAAACCATTCCCAATTAACCTAAATCAGAACAATACCATCCTTGTTCTCTCCAACACATTTTATATTGATCTCAAATCCTTACAAGAACCACAGAAGTCTCCATTCTTGCATGCATCTTCTTATGTGGTTAACTCCTGTGTTAAATTAAATTGCACTGAGCACGATACGATGTGCACAAGGTTTCATTCAGAATCTACAACACGAGCTGCTGTATTTTTAATGGTTATAATTCTTCTGCTGGTGAGGTACAGCACAGCTATTCTCTCCCTCAGTTCAGATGGGTGAAAGATGCATCAACATTGCCTCAACTGGCAGTAAAACAGCCTGTGATAATTTTCTGTTGGGTTTGCTCCCTCCGTTTCTGCCCACGATAAAAAGGAAAGCAGTAGGCAAAATTTGCTGCTTGTATTTAATTAACCTATTTTAACTCCCTTCTGCAGAACCATTGCAGATAAAACAGCTGTGGGTTTGTTGTTTTGTTCCCCCCCCCCCACTTCTTCTTCCCTTCCTTTTACATATCTTAATATTCCACTGAGAATGATCAAAAACCTGTAGCAGCAGATGGGGACAGAATAGGAAAGTTCTCACAAAGGAATTCAGATAAGAGGGGGAAGAAAAATCAGAATAGATTTCAGATTAAGTTTCAGAAAATAGTTCCAAGCTTTAAAATTCATAGGAGCTTTGTATGATTCAGTTTGCTCTCTTCAATTCATTCCTTAAAATCTACCTCACAAAAAAAAATAAAACCACACCAAAGAAACTCCTACAAAACTAAAACAAGCAACACATCTGAAAACAAAGACTATGTTCCACCAATCCTGGCAGCTAAAAGCCAACTGGGAAGTAAACATTTCTGTAGGAATGACTGTAAAAAAAATATCTAAAATAATCTGCTTCTCTGACTGTGCTTTGTCATAAAAGAAAGGAGAGGACTCAATCCCAAGCATCTGACTTGGGACCAAAATCTCTCGGCCTTCTAACATGGAACGAAGGCCACTGAAGTGATTGCAGCAGTTGATGAAAACACCCACAGCTGCTGCTGGCAACAGAATTTAAAGCCATGTATCTAACAGAGCATCGTATGTCACAGCAGTGTGGCCCTACCAGCACCACTGAAGACAGATGTTCCATTCCTATAGACAATCTTCACATGAAATCCATGAGATGAGCCACTTGCACACATTCTGCAAGCTACTGACATTGGCTTTTTACATATGTTTTACCTGGACTCTCTTGGGTTGATAGCAAGATAGATCTCCCATGAGCTCTCTTCAGGAATTGCTCCATGTGGCACCAACAGACTGACTCCTACAACAGAGCAAAGGCAGAAGTTACCTTTGGGAAAGATGCTGAATGCAAAGCTGAGTTTAAAGGAGACCCTGAGTAAAGATCACGAGAATTCAAACAATAACCTGTTAGCTAGAAATCGGGGCATCCAGCCATTATAGAAACTATTGAGTGTGAGAGTTTATTCAGCACCGTATGAACATGGTGGTGTAGTGCAAGCATGCTGCAGGCATATGATCTCAACATCCTTTATTTGATGTTGTATGTTCCCAGCTAATTTAACTGAAGTGAAAGTCTCAAATTCTGTCTCACAAAACTCTCAAGTCACAAAACAAACTGTACTTCTTAAACAATGCAAATTGAGCATTCCTCTTGCAATGCTTCAGTGCATAGCCCAACCTTGAAGTGCTCATCTCAAAGAAAGAGAAAACCAGAAAGCCAGGAGCACGGTAATGAAAGCCACACTAGAGTTCTCCTATTTCTCCTGAGACACCTTAATTGTTATGTGCTGCAAACTTTAATAATATAATGAAGCCTGACAGTGTTAATGCAGTCAGGTGCTGATGCGTGTAGACTCTGCTTTGAATTTGACCCCATTATCTGAGATCCTGATCCAAGAGCAATTTCCTTTCCGGGGAGTGCTTCGTTTGGATCAGGATCCAAGTGAGCTACAGCTTTGATTAATATAACTTTCATGCTAAAGACATCAAGAGGTGGTAATTTGTAGCAGTTCAAATAGGCATAATACGTCTTTACTACTAATCTCAAGCTTTGTTTTTTATCATAGCCACCTCCTGTGTAGGCAAGAGGCTCTACTTCATAGACTTTGCAGTATGGAAGCTCCTACTTTTTACGTATTTAATTCATAGAATGAATGGATAGAACACTGCATCAAGCAAAATGAATTTCATATAAAATTATGTGCTATTGATAAGAAAGGATCTACTCACCTGTATTTGGAACCACTAAACGACCTCCCAGGTGTCCAAAGATAGCAGTTGTCTTCAGCTCATTTCTTGTTGAAATTGAAGACAGGTTCTGAATATATGCAGCCTTGTTTCTAGCCTGCATTGTTCCAAAACCTCTAGCATTCCCATGAGGAAAAGTTCCAGAATGTGCCTTTCCATGATATTCAGCCCTCTCTGTCACCCCTAGGGAAACCATGAACGAACTCTGAACTTTGACTTTGATGTCTGACAGTGGGTTAAACAGTGAAGACTCTGTCATTAGCTCCTTGTCCATTGGATCCTGCAGGCAGATAGGTCCACTGTACGTTCTGCTCACTGTCAAGTCAGGCTGCATGGATGAATTCAAAAGCAGGGAGTTACCTGGTGAAATGAAGTGGATCAGGCAGTTAGTTACTGTATTGTACAGCATGTAGTGAAGCAGAATAATGCACCTAGATAACATACTGCTGAAGAAATGATACTGTGGATAGGGAACATTCCATCCATTTTGTGTAGATCTTCATAAAACACAGAGAAGTGGGAATGTGGAATCTTGGACTGCAATCCCAATCATGCACTGAATTTGAGTTACAATCCTGAAATGAATAAATGTCTTTGATTTAAACTATGCCCTTAGGTTACAAGAGCTGCATTTACACTGAGAAGTGAGAAATAATAGAGGCATGGGTCTAAGCAGCCTAAGACCCATGACTCATGTCTGATTCATGTATCGTGACTGGTGGTGGTGTGTTTTCTTTATTAAACAGCCATGGAAATGTTTACATACTGTATGATATTCCATGCACACCTGCCTCAGTGCCCCATTAACCCAGCCCAAGTTCCAGCCTGAACTGTGCCACTAAGCCTGCTGCAGTTAATACCTCCCTCCTTAGCAATGTCTGGAGCTTAAATCACTCTGCACTCGAGAGCTGCCTGCAAATAAAAAGTCAGGCCTGTATTTCACTGTCACTTTCAGTGAACCATTAGATGTATTTGTAAATCCTAAGCAGTACTCAGCTGCACTTTGATTTCCCCATCTATAAATTGGAGCTAGACAGGTAAGACTTAAGAGATCTCTCTGATGTGCATCTAATGCTAACTTGTTTGATGCACTCAGCACACACTGCAGCCCTGGGAAAAATAATTGTATTTGGAGAGTAAAAGCTCTCTTTGCTCTGTTCTATGCAATATAAAAGAAAAGTACCAAAGTAAGCACTGGAAATTTACATAACTGAGCTTTAATTCCTTGTATCAGACATCTCTTCCTGACCTCACCATCATTTCCTTTTTGATTTACTCTTCTTCCCTGGCAGCCTCAAATCTTAAAATCAAAGAGGACGATGTTGAGACCCAGATGAAACCATGCAGAAGATTCATCAGGTACTTGATCACTATTCTGCACTTCAGGCAATTCCAATGTGCATAAATCCATGAAGGAACTTCTGCTCTGTTCTGGATTTGGTTCTGTGTGTGTGCTTTTGTCTTTAATTACAACCCATTGGGTAGAGCTTTTTGGTGAGCTTGCACAAAAGGACACCTTCATGCCTGAGGAAAAGTGGACTGAAAGTAGGACAAGACTAATAAGGGGAGGAATATCACAGCTGTCCATCCAGGAGCATTCTAGCTCAGATAACTTACTATGAGTCACAAACATCAGCATAGAATCTAATGACAGTATTTCTGAAGCGCATAAAGCATGGTCAAGAAAGACTGTATGTCCAAATTGGTGTGACAAATCAGTAACAGAGATTACAAAAGACATCACTGTTCAACCCCCAGATCCCACTCCACATGCCAGATCTGCCCTTCCCTGGCTCCAGATGTGTCTGCCTTAGCTTTAGGCTGGAATGCCCTCCTGCAGCCAGTCATCGCATATGAGCTTAGTATCTCTTTGTAGTAGGGGCTCTGGAGAGAAGAAAATGAAATCACAACACTAACCTTGTCTGACTGTCTTAAAATTAAATGTCTGGAAGCCTCCTGTCAGTGCAGATGAATCAATCACATCCACGCCGTACTCACTCTGACTCCGTCTGTAAAGGGTAACACCAACCACCAGCACAGCTACAGCAATCACTGCTGCTCCCAGGCCAGAGTACAGGGCAATGTCACTGGCTGTCTCTATATCTGAAGGAGAAAAAAAAGTGAGTACCGAGTCAGTAACACTCATGAAAATGCCCAGTGTGTTCCTAGCAATGGGGATTGTCCGCAGCCACAGACTCATGGCCAGAGGAATAAAGCTTGAGGCATAAACCTGGGGCAGATCACAGCAGGATAGAACACCGAGGAGCAAGCATTTGAAAGCATGAACAAATTTCCTGGTGCCTCATTCTGTGTACTAAGCTTATATTGATTTACGAGTTGCATCATGGTATTTGAGGTTTTCTTGAAGTGGGATAGTTGGACTTGTAGCAGTCAGAAGCAGAGTGCTTACCACTAAATACCTTCTTTCCTCAGCACACCCTGCTAGCTCAGGCTGTGCACTCAGGTATGCCATCTTTTACCATTCTTGCCCAGTGGAGATCATTAAAGTATGGTAATACAGCCCTTAGAGGGGAGAACATGGAAGAACTGAAGCCAGGGGGAGTTGTTTTATGTACTGCAGGATTCTCATTTACTGACGGCTTCCAGGGACATGTAAGTTTTTTGTTTTCAGTTCTAGAACTAATCTAGGATGCCATAAATCCTCTGAAAAAAAAATTCTTAGTGAAGATTTTCCCTTCCTTCCCTTTTTGTTTTTTTGTGAGCTTTAGTTTAAGAAGGAACAATCCACCCTCTCAAAGCTTGAACAATGGCTGACAGTATCCTGCATATCTTGGTGGAATCCTGCTGTTGGAAACAAGCTGGAGCACAAAGTCTTTCCTCTGACCACATCCACACGTTAAGCTTACAACCAACTTTCCTAAGACTTCCAACTTTTTACAGCAGAGAAGAGGAATTTCTTTTTTTTGAAAGAATGAACCCAAATAAAACCTGCAAATATTATGTAACTGAATTATCCAGTCCCACTGTTCTAGATCTCCTGGGATTTAGGACCACATACCATGAAATTAAACTACTTGGAAGTGCACATAGTGAGTCTTCAGACAGCTCCCTTAATGCCAAACTCCAGCTTAGAGGAAGAGATAATGGTGTACGTTCACTCCGTGCATCACCTGCTATCTCACTCTACTCCACTGTAGAGTGAGATAGAATAGCACCTTCTTGCTATCAGGTGAGGAGCATGTTGGTACAAAACATGCATTTATAACAAATGACAGTGACAAAAAATACTCAGGAAAAACAGACTATTCAGTACCACTGAATATGTATGGTAGGAAGTCAAATCCAACATGTTAAGTGAAACTACTTCATGTTTGGGAGGAGGCTTCTGCTGTGCATCTTATTTTTTCTGGAGTCAGATGACTTTATTTCAGCTGAATTCTTGAACATGAAACCACAAACCACTGAAATGGAGGAAATTATGACCTATGGGCAGCATTTGAAAAGCTGGTGTTTGTGGCTCACCAGTTTCCCACATGAACTACATGGCCTACAACAATGCAAAGCTGAACTTCCTAGGAAGGCACAGCAGCTGCCAAATGCAATCATGAAGTTCAACTGTATTCTAACAGAAATAAAAAACACCATTCGAATTGCAGCAGCGAGGAAACCGAGTAGGAAAACACTGTTCTAAGTAGGCTGAGGCACATAGAGATTTGCTATTTTCAAATAACCTCATACTGAAAAACATTCCAATTTTTAACATGTTTGCAATCTGCTTGAAAAGGAAAACAACAACAAAAGCACCACCGAGCTTTTAGTTAGTGCAAATATCAACTTCCAGGAGACATCCATCCGCTGTGGCCTCTCACGACAAGTAATCACAACTGAGAAACCTCAGAATAAACAGCTCAGTTCCAAATTCACAATTACAACACGCTTTTACCAAATAAATTACGGAGAAAAAGATTTCTTTTTCTGCACCATTTTGCAATTTTTAATTCCTGAAAGTAAGCTTTTAGCTGACAATGGAAATGTATCAGAATAACAAAGGGAGTTGCCTCTCTTCTACATTTTCCATCTGAAATAAACACAAGACCACTAGGGCACAAAGGAAGACCCTGGAAGTACCTCAAACCAAGAATACTTGAATCCCAATCCAACACATGAATCACATACTGTTGTACCTCCATTTTATTCTTTGGCACCACGTACAGAAAGTACAGAAATTGTTCATGTTTCCATCCTTCCAATTTACTATTTCCAGTCTATTTTCTTGTTACGGGGAATTAATTACGATACTTCATCACCAGCTTCATTTTTGTAGATTGGTACAAACAAGTCAAGGGAAAGAGTGGTATTTGTCTCCAACAAACAAATGGGAATCAGTTGGCCAAAGATGGGTTAAGAATTGCATCCTCCCAGCCCTGATGTGTCTGCTGCTAAGGGCTCCAACTTTTACACATTTCAGTTACAGGACACACGTTGGTGGTAATCGTAGCCTATATTTCACTCCACCTTCTGACACTGTTACACAACATTTATTGAAAGCACATTTGATGGTAATGAAGTTTCTATTAACTATGATTAAGTTTTCTACAGCACCTGAAGATAATTTAAGATGTGCAGGAGCAGAAAATGAAACATTTGGTTTAGTACATTAGGAAATGTAATTGATTAAATTATCTCATTTACAATAAGTGCTTTCCAGGAGATATGCAAGGCGTGTATTTCCCCCAGTCTCCCATTAGAGTTTGCTAGGAGATTGGAAAGATTCTTTCTGCTTCCCATCCTCCCTTATTTTCCACCTCCCTTACTTTTGATGCCCCTTAGCAACTCGAAATCCATTGCTTCACACAGCTAGTCCTTGAGAGTAAGGACCAAAAGTCAGAGCATAATGTAAAGGCTAGTTAGTAGAACAGGTTGTTTCTCAATTATCTTCATAATTGACTTTGATTTTGCATCAGTGATGATTCATGCAGTCTTAAACGAAGTTCCTGTTTCACTGAATAGCAGCAAGCTGTACGACATGCTTCTAACCCCACAGCTAAAGAAACCATTTAATTCTCTAAGGAACCTTACGTGCTAAAAAAATCAATGCCATTAAGGTATTTTTTGGGTTGTTTTTTTTTTTTTTTAATAAATCAGAAATTAAAGCAATTTAACTAATGTTCTTTCAAGACTCTCTAATTAAATGGGAACAGCACAGATGTACAAAAATGCATCACTTGCATTCAGTCTCACACAGATCGGTTGGTGCGACCCAGCAGGAGGCAGTTCCAGGAGCACAGAACATGGGATGCACCTCCCATGAAATCCCATAATGGGATTCCTGTGACAAACACACAATTCAGATCCATCACAGAAGACTCTCTCTTTGAAGAAGATACAATTGCATCCACTACATAGGATGCAAAGGACAAATGGATTCGTGTTCCAAGTCCTTCAAAGGAATTAAACAAAAAAAAATGTATTTATTAATCTAGTTATTTATTAGTCAAAATTCAAAGAAATTTTGTCGAAAATTAAGCAGTGAGTAATCCTCAAAATGCTGTATAAGGTTTGTAAGAGAAAAGCAACATCTTAGCTTTAAAAGAGAATAGGCCTCATGGATGTTGTGACTTTGATGGAAGGGCGCCTTCTCTTTTAATGAAATCTTTCAATTAATCAATCCAAACCAGAGGTACCACTCTTATTTTAACTAAAATTCCATTGAAAACAATGGAAAACTGAGAAACAATGCAGGATGGGAGCTCCTGAAAAACAGCATACAAATGATACGTAGTAAAGCACATCAACACCCTTCACCAGCTGATAAATCGCGTGAGCTGACCAAGGCAGAGCAAGTAGTGAGTAGATTAGAACCAAGAAAGCCAAACGCCTGTATTACCTCTTTAGTTTTCCCCTAATCACAAGTCCTCAAAAGATTGATGTGAAGATATGCAGGGCTCAGCAAGACACAAAATTACTGAAGAACAGTCACTCCTTTTATTTTTAGTCTAAAAGCTATGATCACCAAGCCGCTAAAAAGATGCTTTCGGTAGATATGAAAGCCTTTCATATAACCTTCAGCTGCATTCAGTTTCTAAACAAATAAAACAGAATGGCAGAGAAGATGAGAAAAATCATATTTACAAGAGGAAAGAAAATAACTTACTTTGGGATTTTATTTCATGAAGAGGTTTTTTATCTAGAGAGAGAAAGAGACAGAGACAGAGAGAGAGAGAAAGTTGCACTTAATAAATTTACATGGAGCATATCTATTTCCTACATCGCGTCTGTCTAGCTCTATAAATGAAACATTTTCTCTGTATTTGCTGACAATATGAATATTTTACGTTGTCCACATATTTTTTTTTTTCACCTTTTTTCTAAATCTCTTTTGGGAAGTTCTTTTTCAGTCATTTCTCACTTGGTTTATTTGAATATTTGTTAGCTTTTTTTTGGATGCTCTTATTTAGAGCACAGTGCATCCAACAGGGAAGTTCAGTACATGGTAGTGGATCACTTGACAGTCCGGTTATGAATTTTTTCTTTGTATGTTTGATATATTAAAAACGTTGGTGACATTTTGAAAAATTACCCCTCAAAATATACAATATACTCATATTTATGTCTCTATTAAATACACAAAACTATTGACCTGTATACTTGCATAAAAATAACGCACAGAACCAACGCACTACCTGAACATGTAAGTATGTATTTGCAAATGCGAAATCAACTTCATCAAGCTGGGTTTTTACCCTACTAAAGCATGGATTGGGCTCTCTGGATCCATCCACAGTCAATCAAAAACCAAAGCAAGAACTCGGAAAAAGTGACGTTCCTGGGACTGAAAAGATGCCTTCTTCCTGTTACTCCCAACTCCTCTGGTCAGGGACTGAAGAGGGGATAACCTGAGCATGCACAGCCCCCGAAATAATGCTGTTTCATTCATTGACTCCAAGTCAGAAAATTCACACTGGGGATTAGAACTGTTCCTGCTTGTTCAGAACACGGCCACGTATCTCCAGCATCTTATGTTCTTCCCTTTACTTTCATTAGAGTTCCTCCTCGTTAACCAGAGGAATGTTTCATTTCTATTTTTGCCTCATGAAAGGAACAAAGTTAACAAGTTGTGCCTGATAAATAACCTCCAAGAGATTAGTTATCTGAAGCTCTGCACTGCATTTCCTTCGTAATTCCCAGTGGGATGAAAAGCAGAGAAGGAAAGGAACATATCAGAAGATGAGCAGGGAAAAAGAATTCAAAAAATAGGGTAATTGCATCAATTCCTATTAGCTGAGAAAGCAATTATGCTCCTAAAAATAATTTGACACCAGTATATGTATACAGCACAACCCATAAAGGAAGATGCTCTAAGATGAAAGAAATTAGACATTTAATACTTCAATCTAATTGAATGCACGTGGAAATTTCAGAGCCAGCACGTTCTCTCTGCTACTGCGCAGCAAAAAGAGGAGCAACAGCTTCTGTGTCATGGGGCTTTGGATCCCTCTTATGCTGTTCAAGTCCCAGTGAAAGTCTGTTGTGTGTAAATACTGAGAAGGCTCTCAATACCAAATTACTGTGCATTGGTACCAGGCCTGTGAGTGCAACTCCAAGCACTCTGCCCTTTTTCTTCTACCTGCAGTAAAACCAATAGAGATGTGACCAAACTTGAAACCTTTGTTCATGCTAAAAGCTTCAGAGAGTTTTGTCCTAAAATACTTCTTGAAAATTCACTCTTGGAATCAGCATTAAACAGAAGAGCTAATCCTTGAAAGAGAGCTGCCTAGAATGGCACTGGCCCACTGCACTTCTGTTACATCAGAGAGCAACCGGAGCTGATACTAAAGTGATAACTCAATGCCTCAGAGACTGACAGAGGGGCCTGGATGAACTCAGAAGAAGAGAGACTGAGCAGCAGAAGCTGGGAGGGAAAGACTGTTGCCACAGCAGTGCCCAGATGCCCAGTCAGTATCTGAAACAAACCGTGCTACAAAGACTTGGGGAGTTTCAGTGACTGCTGTCATGGAACGAAGCCTGCTCCATCAGGGAAAATGGATTCATCCATCTTGGTGCTTAACAGGCATGGTTTTTCCCCAGGCCATATGCTCCTTCCAGGTTACCAGCATGAGCATAATACTGTATTTCTTCCTTTGCCCCCAAAGCATAAACACAGCATAGCACAGGAATGCAGAACTGACATGCAAGCACACAGCACGCGAGGATATCACCCCCAAAGTAGGACAGGTGGTCTTCACCACCTTGCAGGGTCATTAAGGAAACACGACCTAAATGGGTTCTCCTTTTATTAAGGAGATGCTTTCCAGACACTTAATAAGGGCAAATCCTGTCCCAAGGGACTGACTGTGAAGTCGGTTTGCCTTTGTTTATTACTCGCAAGAAACTGGAAATCAGCTTTGACCCGAAACAGCTCTTGCACCGTATTCATGTTGGTGCTTTGCCAGTTCACTTGCATTAAAAAGTAGGAAGCTCAGTAGCACTTTCTATGAAATATGTTGTAGCAGATGGTCATAATTACACATCGAAGAAAACCTTTACTTGCATTTTCAGTTATCTGATAATGAATAGGTAAAGCACATGCTACAAAAAAAAAAAAAAAAAAAAAAAAACCCAAAAAAAAACCAGCAAAACCACCCATAGGAGCTCTGCTGACACAGATGTGAGGCAGATCCACCACAGTACCTGGATTGCCCGATCTGTGTCAGGCTGCACAGTGCAAACTGTTACCCACCTTGAATGCAAAGCCCTTCGGTGCAGTTCTCTGACTCCTGGCTCAGGCCCTCGCAGTACTTTCCTCCATTTCGTGGAGCTGGCGCAATACATTCCCGAACCCTCAAATGCTCACACTCCGGGCTGCACACAGACCATTCACTCCACACCTCCCAGTTTCCATCCACTGAACGGGGAGGGGAAAAAAGAAGCAAACATTGTCATTGCTTACCAAACTGATGCAGTTCCAAGATCCTACAAAGAAAACATGTTTTATATCTCCCCTCCGGTTGCACCAAGTAGAACGCAAGGCTATATTTATTTCTCAACAGTTGTACAGCATCAGATGTGAAGTTAAAATGCAGCATTAAAATGTGTCGCCTTGAATGTAAATGTAGAAGCTTTTAGAATAGCACCAGTGTGCAACAGTCTGCAAATGTAGTCAATTAAAACTGCAGGAGGAAGTGTTTCTGGTGCCACCTATTAGCTTCTAATGCTTCAGTGCCAATTCTGCCTTAAAACAGGCTGATGCAAAGAGGCCACACATTAACCTACCAGAGAAACGATGCTGACATTGACACAAAAAGCACAGTTTTGGCCTTGCAGATCTCTTGCTAATGCCCTGTGCAACATGAGAAATCAGTACGGTGCTTTGCTGACTGATATTTAGCTGTGTCTGACCCTGTCCCAAATGGGAAGGGATTCCAGAGTCTCCATTTTTTCTCATGCATAAGACTGAAGAAAAAAAATCAGATCAACAGAGAGACAAGTATAGAAAACGTTAATTTTTTTTAAATGCCAGTTCAGAACATGTTGTATCAAGAACTCATAAAAGCTAGAAGAGAGATTTGCCAAAGGGGCTGCGCTGTGACCCCAGGCAAACAAGATCTTCGAACTTGAATGCATACAATCCTACTATTGCTTAGTATTGCTAAATTTCCTTAGCAGTACTTGCAAAGCAGAGATTCCAAAATTACAGAAGGGCAGCTTTGTTCACTTGTACCAGATGCAAGTAGCTTTTCTTCTTTTGTTTTGTTTTTTTTAACCTCAGTAGGCTTGTAAAAGCACAACTGCCTACCAGGCATTGCCGAAAGCAAAAGGTCTACCTGAAGCGCGCCATTTAAAAGTGATTCCTTCTAGGACTGTGCATATCTCACCAGGGCAAAGAGAAGTGCAGGTGATCTTCTGCACGGACATTCCTTCGCAGAATGCCCCTCCGTTGAGCGGGGCAGGGTTGGTGCAGGTCCTCGATCGCTTCTGCCAGCCCCGACCGCACCGCGCGTTGCAGTTGGACCACTCAGTCCACGACGACCAGCCGCCGTTAACTGCAACACAGAACTGTGCTTGAGGTGCTGAAAGAGGCTCTAAGAGACACGGAACAACAAATCTGCTCATCTGATCGCTTCGTTCGTAAGCAGAATTAGCCTATTGGTATCTGGAATGAGGACTTTGACAGTATTGACAACTTCTGGGAACCTTTCATCACAAACAGGAAACTCATAATTCCAACCACTGTAAAAACAGTCATGACCTCAGCAGAAATAAATGTGACGGGAGTGAGGTCAGCCATTTGATTTAGAATCAGTTGTATGGTAAAAACACGACTTCAGGCAGTAAAAGTACAGTCTTATAAGCTTTTCCATAATAATCAATATATAATTATCACATTTCCACCAACCATAAACCACAACTGTCGCAGACATGCTCCTCCTCTTGGCAACAATGTTGGCAGCCATGCAGGTGTAGTTCCCGGAGTCGGACAGACGCGCCTGTCGGATGATCAGGTTGTGATCTGCTCTGGTGTCGATGTTCTCATCCAGGTTGGAATCTATGGGCTCCTCATTCTTCAGCCATTCCACCTGGAAAGGGAGGGAGGGGGAAAACACAAGGTGAGGTATGAAGAGAGGAAGCAGGAAATCCACTTATCTTTCAGTGACTTCACCAATAAATGATTCTCCAATCTTTATTATAAACAGTGGAATAGAAGTAAGGTAGGATGAGATTCCCAACAAAGCAGGCATTCACAAAGTCAAGGAAAAAAAAAATAAAAAAAAATCAGTCCTTATCTGAAGAGCCTGGAGCTAATTAGCAAAGACACTCCAATTGATATACTGAAATAGGAGAAAATGGCAAAGAGCTGGTTTAGACTTGTAAGGATGTGAGTTATAGAGATATTATGTTTGTTCTACTTGGAAAAAAGGAAGGAAAGATGAGGGAAAAAAGAAAGAGCAGTTAATCACAGCTACCTTACAGAACACAGCACTTCATATGCTCAAACCACCGGACAACGATCAGTTAAATTTCACACTACATGAGTCTGATATTAATCTAAGCAATGACATTCACCATTCAAATAATTCACAATTAAAGTTCACAACTTGCAAATAAACGGACTCTCAACTTAATTAAACACTATTAAACTAGAACATTAGCATTTGTTTTCAAAGCACATAAATACTGTGAAATACTGTGTGCAATATACTTCTGTACACCTCTAGTTCACTAACAGCATATTTCTGAGCAGACCCAGAACTTTCCACAAGGCACTGCTATACCTGAAACATTTAAACCAAATATTTAAGGCAAGACGAGTTGTAACAGAACTGAAAAATTAAAACTAGAAGCAGAATCTACTGGAAGCCTGAACAAATATGACTCACTTTCATAGCTATTCCAGACCTGAAGGAGGTATGGCCATACCCTGAAGTCAAACACCCTTCCCAGCTCAGTTCTCTTTACTGCATGTAGGACTGCAATACTTGGTGGATGAAAAACGTTCACATTAATGCAGAGCATTTAAAAGAATGATGTTCACTGTGAAGGGAGAACATTAAACAGACAGATTGCAAACGTAGAATTGTTGAGAGATGTGCCATCAAAAGCTATTTGTAAACAGGGGCATGCATTGCCTTTTGCTTTTTATCCGGAGGCCTGATGGCACTACGAATGCAATCTCTAATTCCAGCACTCAAAGAGAAAAGGAGTGCTTCAACCTCAGCAGATGAATGCTTTCAAAGATGCAAAACCAAGAGATGAATTCAAAGGAAAACCTGATAACTGTAAAGGCTTTACAATGCCAGCAGGTTGTTGAAACTTGCAGTGGTGCAGCCATCAGAGAATTTCATCACACAAACATATGCAGAACCAACACACAAAATAATCATGCAAAATAAAGGCAGCAAAGGAAGTTACTGCATCTCCGTATTGAAATGAGGTACATGGGCTGAACTGCCAACCTGCCATCTCAGAGCTGCAAACTTAAAACCCCCTGGTATTTAACTTCACTCAATTTTCTACCAGTGGAGGTCATACAGTAGCTCATAACATTCCAAAATACATTTCTTTCTAAGCATTAGCCTGTCTTGAGGCCTTACATGTTTATATCTTGAACTAGACTTAAAAAGCCTGCCTATAACTGCAGTAAGTTTATAAAAACATATCTGATTTTTTCATCCTGAAATAGATCTGCTCAGAACTCAAATACTGCCATCAATTAGTAAGAAAGGCTAATCATGTAATGATCTACAGAAGAAATGGAGGGGCAGATATGGGTTAATTCAGCTACTACCTATTGGGTGGCAGATTAATTAGCATAATCATAAATTATTCCAATTACAGAAAGCAATTATCAAAGACCAATATTATAGAAACAAAATCAGTTAAGCACACCATATCCCAGGTAGGTTACCATGGGAGTTAGTGAATTCTTTATTCTCTATTTCCTCAAAAATTAAGCTGATCAGTACTCATCCATATTTCTTGCCTACTGTGGATAGCACAAAGAAGCCTGACAGTTTCATATCATGGGAACATTTCGTTCGCTGCAGGTGATGGGAGTCTTACTGCATTATGTGCAATGTAAATACAGCATGTATAGCGTCCTCATCTACAGGTACATCTGAACAGCTACTATGGAAACACCTCCTTCCAGCTGCCACCTAGCAAGTCCTCAATGCTCTGGGGACTCACAAGTACCCCTGAAACTATTGGTGGGAGCAGAACCACACTGTAGGTTGCTCCCTCCTTTAAAGCTGCCCATCAGTGGGCTACAGTTGTGGTTTCTATGGGAGCAGAACGTTACACTGTACTTATTCACATTAACAGAAATTACTTTTGTTGTTGTTTATAATACCCAATTTAATAGTTAAACCTTGGAGAAAAGGCAGTGGATGAGAAGCATCTCATAGCATGATTTGGTGCCTGAAGGGTTCCTCAGCAGCTGCTGCAATTGAAACACCCCAAGAGCCAACTGGCTGCCCATCACTGCATCTTCTATTCTTTCTAAGGCATCTTGCTTGGGAATACAAAGACTTAACACCCAGAAAAAGAAATACACCTCACATCTTTGGGCACACACAATAATTTCATAGGTCAGAAGACAAAATACTTTAGCATTCCTGCCTGTAGATTATACTATCCTGCCCTTTAAACACAACATCTGACTTTCTCATGTGGTCAATAACCTGAGTACACATATATCAGAGATAATATAGTTAGAATGTCAGCTCATCTTGAAGAGAGAATCAATCGCTTTCTGTATGCTAGACAAATGCTTCATGATTTTAAGATGGGAAAAGGTCAACACCTGACTAAAGGCAGCACGAATGTTTTTTTAGAGTGCAGACAGTTTACAGCTTTTCTTCGACAGGAGAATATAAGGCGTTAGAAGTAAAGATGAATTCTTTTCTCCAAATAAGTTTCTTTTAATAAAAAAAAAAAGCTTCCAACAGGTTCTCCTGCACATCAAGACAAAGGGAAGGCCTGGAAGGCTTCCAGTACCTTCTCTGCTGACTCCAGAGCACACCTTGGGAGATTACAGCACTAGGCTAACATCGGTGTGGGTGAATATTCCTTCCACAGTGATCAGCTTGTAGCTAGAAAAAACCCTTTCTACTTTATCACCTTACTGAAAATCTTACGAAAAATGGCTTTCACTGTGACCTACAGTGTTTTATGGAAGGGAGTGAAATCCATTCCCTTCAAGACTAAGCCTGATGTAGCATGAAATTTACATTTCTGAAAATGCAAGTGTCTAGCTTAGGAAACCTTCCTCAGCACTAAAGCAGAATGGATGGGGCAGCTTCTCTGCTGATAGTGATGCACTAAGATGGCAACAGATCTTTGTTTTGCTTTCTACCCTAATACTCACGCAGATACAAAGGAGAAACCTCCCATCAGCATAAGTCATTGTGGGAGATTAATAACCACAAAAGCCAGTTTGCAGGATCCAAGCGATTCACATCTACCTTCACGACCACATACTATTTTATCAACACAATCAAAAAGCATTGATCTTCCTTGCAAGGGGGCTACCTGCAGAAACACACAGGCAGCAGCAGGTCAACTACCTGCTGAAGGTTTTTAAATTAATCCACCGAGAGAACAGTGTTACCGAATCATTTAATCACAGCGCTGTCATGCTGCTCTGGTAAGCATATTTTTCCTTCATTAGATTGAATATATAATCTCGTTACATGAATCTGACACACCGACCAACTCATAAATCAGCTTGCAGTCTTGTTGGCAATGTTGCAGCGGTACAGGAACCTTCTCTTTGAAGAGATGCTCTCAGTGGTTGCAAAAAACCTCAAGGGCAGTGTGCTGCTAATGCATTTCCTTTCTGCTTGTTTTGCTCCAGGTGCCTTGCAGAGGAGCTTAAGCCTCAAGCAGCAAGTAAGTCCAGGGAAGCTGCCCTCCCATGCAGGACAGACAGCATTGCTGTCTTCTCTTCTGGAGCCTGTTTTCAGAGCCACATCGAATCTGCAATGAAGCATTTTTGTGTGATTTAAAACCTCAAACAAACTGATATTGGTGAACAATCAAGGAGGGGGAAAAAGGGGAAGGTAAGAAAATAAACATGTATTTCATGTATGCTCTTGTGTAAATATAATGGGAAAGATACATGGCTTGTATGTGCTTCTCCATTTGTAATGCTAAAGATGAAGGTGAGCAACAGGTTGACTCAGACATGCTATTTTAAACCACTGTTAAGAACACACGTTCCTAAATGCACTGCTGCTAATGGTAGGTTGTCTGATGGTTAAAAATAAAAGAATCAGCATTAAAAGCCAAAGCTTTTCTTTCTCTAGATAACACAAAATCTAAGGGCATATACGAATCCACAGACGTTGTTTTACAAGTGTGCTGCACAAAGCGTGCGTTCCTCAGTGCTGTGATGTGGGATGCTCAGAAGGAAACAAAGAGCCCACAGCACTGATGTTGTGTTCACAGTGACACCAAGCTTTTTTTTTTTTTAACCAATTGCTTTTGTAAGTGGCATTCTTCCAATACAACTTCCAGAATGTAACTGTGAGATACCTCTAAGAGAAACCCCTTTTTATCCATTAGTGAACCCTCCTGTTCTACACACAGAAAACGTATCTAAAAACCAACTCTCTATATGAAAAAATACAATTGCTAGTTAACAAACATGCTACTCGTGCTGTGTCACTGAACACAGCCAAGCAGACCTGCAACACAAATAACTTACTATGTTAAATGTATACCTATGTGTCCAGAGAGATAAAACATTGCTGGAATCTGTCATGTTATACAATATCAGTTCCACAGTACTTCACTGATTCTCATTTCGGATGATAAAGTGACTATAGCACAAGTATACTGCACCAGCAGAACCTGAATAGAGAGAACCCTTGTTAGCTTAGATAAAAAGGTGTTTTGTGAGAAAGAACCACAACTAGAAAGTGCAGTAACAAATGCAACTGCTACTTTGAAGTCGTAAACCACTTAGATATCTGCCAGGGGGCATTTTCTCATAGCAGCTTGGCTGGATAGGTTGAACGTTTCAGCCTCCTAACAACCTTTTCACCTCTGAAACAGCATAACATTCTGACTACAA